ACACACACACACACACACACTCAGCTCAGCGTGAAACTTGAAATCCTCCTTGAAAGCTCTGAATTCGTCGCTTCCTTTCCGTCACACAGACTCACTGAGCTCCGTGTTACTGTGTCGCAGGTGCGTCCTGTAACAATGCAGCTCGTCTTTGTTAGAAATAATCCACACGGAGGCGTCAGACACGTTACAATAACAAAGTGAATGCTACGACACGGAGCGGAGCCACGTTTCCTCTGTCAAAGGTCAAATCTGTAAACCTGGAATCATTGATTTTTTTCAAATAAATCACACACTGAACCATAAAGACTCACAATGATTTTTAGGGACTTGAATTTCCACTTAATTTTCAAAGCTTTCAGTTTTTTTTTCAAATCTCATTATTTCTGCCAAACAGGAAATGTTTCTGTTTTGTTTGTCTGTCTGTTATTCGTTAGCAGGATTCCGCAAAAAGACGACTGTTGGAATGATGCGGGATGGATCGGGGCAGAGATGCAGGAATTCAGTCTGCGGTGGCAGCAAGTTGCAACAGATTCCCGGTGACAAGTTCACAGACCCGAGAGTGAAAGACAAGTTCTCGCAGCTGAAACTATCTGCGTGGATGGTAAAAACTTTATGAACAAAACCACAGCACATAGGTTAAATATCGACAAAACGTGAGGATGATGCTTGAGATTTAACCCAGCAGCGACTCAAGGCCCAATGTTTGTGTGTGTGTGTGTGTGTGTGTGTGTGTGTGTGTGTGTGTGTCGCTGCATCACGTCGCACCATACATCTGTATTCATTTCATATTCTCCAGCGATGACATGTGTGACAGCAAAATACGAAGTTATCACATCTGCAGCGAACGAACAGTCAGAGGAGGGGGGGGGGGCTGACGAGTGCCCGAAAAACATTCAAATGATTTAACACACACAAACATGCACACAGACACACACAAACATGCACACAGACACACGTGTATGCAAACACACAAAGAAATCCCACAAGGCCTTAGTAATAACTAATTGAATATTTGAATGCAAATCCTCCGTCCACCCTGGTAACTGTGTGTGTGTGTGTGTGTGTGTGTGTGTGCGCATGGATGCCTGCTCCTACGCAGTACACCACGATGGCCATCTGAGGTGACAGTGAGACAGATGGTATGTAGGTCGGCCTCTCTCCATGCACACTCACACACACACACACTCACTCACACTCACACACACTCACACTCACACACACACACACCTACCACAGACACGTGCACGCTCACAGTCAGCAGCGTGTGTCCCGACAGCAGAACGAACGCCGTCTCTTCAGCTGCAGGATTAAAACCTCGTCACCTCCACACAGATGAATTCATCTGTTGTTTTCTCTTGGATTCACTCTTCACTTGTTTCTTCACTGTTCTGCAGAGCTCACTGATTTTCATTGGTCCTAAATATCTGTGTCTGTTTTAAACCTGCATGTTTGGAATTAGCTGCTACTTTGACCGGTGGTGATGCTGGTCGCAGCTTTTCTTTCAGAAACTGTAAAAGTGACCTGCAGGATTTTTTTTTTCAAATAAAGTTCAGTTTTCCCGATTGTTCAAAGTTCAGTGAAGCTTGACTCGGTAGAACCTGAACTGGAGAATCATTTGTCGTTAGGTTGATGAGTCTCAGCCGTCACTGCTACTGAGCGCTGGCCGAGAGTCCTCATAGTAAGTTTATCTTTTCATATGCTAGTCTATGTAATTTAATTTCATTGTGTAGTTTTTATCGTCCAGCACTTTGGTTGGTTTTAAATCTGCTCTATTACTAATCTTGACTTATTCGTGAAAAATAATTGCACAGAGAGCAGAGCACACAGCATCCCTCACACATCCTCATATCCTCCACTCTGCCGTAGTGTCCTTGAGCAGCATCTCTTTACCCCCCCCGATACATGCAGCGGGTCGACCCTGACCTTTGACCTCTGACTGGTAGCCTGAGAGGTGCAGGGAGGAAGAACTGGAGCTTTTCCTTCACACTGAGACCAGGAGATTATGACGAGCAATAACACAGGACGTGCCTGTGTGATGAGGCTGCAAATCTCTGCTCGGAAAGAAAAATGCAGCGGAGGAAAATTCTGAGAGCAGAAGAAAAGCAGAGACAGAAAGAGAAACAGAAAGAAGGAGAAACAGAGAGAAGGAGAAACAGAGCAAAGGAGAAACATAGAGAGAGAGGAAGAGAAACAGAGAGAAGGAGATACAGAGAGAAGGAGAAACAGAGAGAGGGAGAGGGAGAGAGAGGAAGAGAAACAGAGAGAAGGAGTTACAGAGAGAGAGGAAGAGGGAGAGATAGATAGAGAGAGAGAAGGAGAGAGAGAGAGAATGGCCGGGTCGTGCGTCGGAGTCTCCCCGACCAGGGCCCCTCTCTAGACGGCAACACGTCATGGAACATTCCCGGAACCAGCCAGCGCACCACCCACCATCTCTCTCTCTCTCTCTCTCACACACACACACACACACACACTCTCACACACGCACACGCACGCACACACACATAAAGGACTCAAACGATGAACACTAGATGTGGAGTCGTTGCCTGTTTGAACATCTACACATGAACACAGTTGTCGTGTTTGGACACAAAGTGACAACAACACAAAAAGCGGATGTGCCACCGTCTGACACTGAACAAGGAAACACCAGAGCGCGTGAGCTAAGGTCACTGTCTCAACTCGCCTCGCGCGCTGCCCACAGATCACAGGGGCGTCATGGCAACACAACACAGATTCACAGGTGAACTTCTAAGAATCAAACCGCTGAGGCGCGGGCACGTCTGCACAGCGCGCACGAACGCAGATGATCGACCTTCCAGACACCATCATCATCCTCACACCTCTCCCAGCTCCAGACCCTCCAGCAGCCCGGCTCCCTCCCTCTCTCCCCCCCGGCCTTGCAGCCACCCTGGTCGAGCAGGCTACTGCAAATTCCTCAGGATATTACGCAACCCGGGTAATCTGCATGCAATGCAATGCGTGCCCGGGGTATTCCCCGTGCACAGCCTTGCCCTTATAAGCTAAACAAAAAGATCCAGAGCCGTGAAAACAGTCCAGAATGTGCGTCATGGCGCAGAACAGCTCGCTGTCACTGTGAAATGTGTGAGAATGTGTCCGGGTTTCGTTTCTCGCTCCTCTTACCTTCAGTCTGCGCTGCGCTCCGGCTGCGCGCCTCCGTCTCCGAGCGAAAATGACAACAAGCAAACCCGGTGACAGGAGATCCGATTCCGGGCTTGACACCTCGATGGTTGTCCGCCGAGAGGCGAGGAGACGGTTGTTAGAAATCCACAAGAGTCGAGGGGCAGCGGGAGGAAACGTCGCGGCTGAGACGGAGCAAAAGTTGCGCGTAAAAATGGAAGGAATCCTTTCCGACCGGATTCGTGCGGCCGGAGCTCCGCGGCTGCAGACAGACAGTCAGTCAGTGTGCGCGTCTCGCTGTGTTGTGAGTGTGCATGTGTGCGTGTGTGAGAGGGTGAAATCAGGAGAGACACACACACACGCACACACACACTCATGCGCACACGGGGGTTATTCCAAGCGCCACTTCCCAGAATAGCAGCAGAGAGGAGAGGGAGAGAGACGGAGTGGCAGAGCGGTGGAGAGAGAGAGAGAGAGATAGAGAGAGAGAGAGAGGGCGTGTGTGTGCGTGTGTGTATGTGTGTGTGTGTGTGTGCGCGCGCGCTTGTGTGACGTCGTCGGATCCCCCAGCGCGCAACCAGGGCAGAGGGAGGGGAGGGGAGGAGGAGCAGTGGCCGAGGAGGAGGCTCTGTCTGCAGGCTCAGAGAGAGCAGGATTCCCCGGTCACCTCTGGAGCGACCTGTCTGTCTGACTGTCTGGAGGACTGCACGTCTCCCCTGCTTGCTGCCTGTCTCTCCTCTCAGCTCCATGGAACTGAACTGAATACTTCCATGTACAGTTTGCAGTAAAAACGAGCATGAATAAATATTACTACTACCAATCCGACTTTCTATTATCGTTTGTGTGTGAGTTAAATAATAATATCTCCAGGGTAACGTGCACCAAACTCATCGGGACAATATTAAAATCTGCAACATTATTAACCCATCGATCGCAGGATTTCGACTCATATGTTGTGTGATTTAGTGGCATCTAGTGGTGAAGTTGCATATTGCAACCAGCTAAAGACTCACCCTCCACTATCAGGCAGGTAAACTGTACGTGGCCTCCAGGTAACGTCAAAATGCAAAAAGGCCTCTCGAGTTGGGTTTGTCCATTCTGGGCTACTGTAGAATTATTGTGAGAATGTAAACGAGTCTGTCCCAGAAAATGTCCTGCTGCTTCTTCATATGAGAAACAAACTCTTTCACCGAAAACATCGTATTACATGACACGTTCACATTCAAGCAAATGTTCTTGATGGGCGGGCTTCCCACTGGAGGAACAGTGGGTGGTACAAGACAAATATGTGAAATATGTTTCCAGACCATTCATTCATTTCTGTTTCCTTTATCCTGACAGATTTTTAGGTGGATCCTCGGTCGTCGTGCGACTCGCCCACTCCAGCTGATTCCCCTCATGGAGGAAAGTCTGGAGTCTATAAAACCCGTCCAGTTCAGAGCACAGACCTCATTCACGCTGCTAATAAATGAAACCCTGATGAAGTCGGTTCTTCTCCTTCAAGCAGGTTGGACAGGTTTAAAAAGTGACTGGACACAGAGCAACTTTGCACCTGAGGCATCACAGGTTTGATTCCTCTGACAGTGTGAAACGCGGCCAGCAAATTCTGACGCGAGGCTCCGCCGCGATGAGAAACCGGTCAGACTTTTGCACAGCCGAAACTCAAATAGCTCCCATTGTACCTGGGAACAGATAATCACACATAATGGTCCAGTAATTGTCTCGATGGCACCGTCCACTGAAGAGGAGAGGCTATCTGAGGTGAGCGTGACTGAGGGGGGAGGAGGAGGAGGAGGAGCTGCGGCTCTGCAGGGACGGAGCCATCGATGGAGCAGTCAGAGAAACTGTGACCTTTTGTGACTGGATTGTCACTTTCCCCCTCAGGCTCCGTCTACGCTAACAACTAAACTCAAACTGAAACAATCACGTCGCACTGGACAGAGGAATCATCGCAGATCGTCTGTGTTCATGTCTGGAAGCTGTCCT